GTGACAGCAACAATAGGCTTACAGCCTGAATGGAATAAAAAGGAAACAAAGAGGGAAGGCTCCCTTCTCTTTATTTGGAGGAGCTCCAGTTTTCACCTTCACCTTAGACATCATTTGACTTTCAGGGCCAACTCTTCAGCCTTCCACTGCAGACCAGTTTGTCTCCTAATACAGACTCGCATGGGACACTATAGCAAGTTCCAGGTTGTCATTTGGTTCCTTCAGATCACTAGCACACAGACAGACCTCTTGCATTCTTCTACACATGACACTGTGGGTGGTCATTGTAAGCCAATCTTATAAATTCTATATTTGCATATAGAATCTTATAATTCTATATTCGCATATCTTATGCTAAACCTGTTTCTCTGGTAATCACAAATAGATACAATAATATATTCACATGTGTTGAATTTCAGTAAAATATATGTTTTAGAAAACTGGTTTTTATCCATGTCTTTCTCTACCAAAATTCTATTACATATTTTGAAATAATTCTTTTCTCAATGTGCTATGTAACCATCCAGTATTTCATAAAGCAAATATAAGGAAATATGAAAATATAGTTTTACTACTGGGAGATCATTTTTATTCTATATTTAATTATATAAAATTTACATTGTTATATACACCCTTCTACCCTTCTACCAATGGTAGAATGAAACTCTTAAAAATATGCTCTGGAGGTCATGAATATTGATACATTGAGAATATTTTCAAACTTTTCTATAGATAAGTAGCATTGCATTATGTCCATGTACAATATCTCATTTAATTAATTATCTTTTGTTCTTTCCAGACTTTTGCTGTAACAGTAGTGTGGGGATACATAATCTTAATTTGGATTTGTATGGAGTTGCCCTGTCCAGGGATAAACACACTCATGATTTTGAATGATGGTAGTCCACAATGATTATACTATTTTGTATGTCCATAGTGTGCTAATCCAAGACTTTCAAAAAATAAATGAAAGATGATAATAAGCATGACAGGATTTTATTTGGGTAAATGCCTGAAAGCAAGTAAAGAAGCAAGCAGTTAAGACTGACAAAGGCTGCAAAAACTGAAGTAAATCTTATCTGAAGAAAGAAAAAGTTTGAGTCAAAGCTCCTAGTCAGCCAGGCTGTTGAAAGAAGGTTTGACCCAAACCATCCGAAAATATTTGCATTGAAGGCAGCCAATGAAATCACCATCTCTCCAGAGAATGAGGCTGCCTTGCTCGACCTCATTGGTGAGGTACAGCTTTGGGAGGCCAAAGAACAGCAACCAGGGTGCTTGGTCCATTGTACTCATTCTACTTGGAGGTTTACTGGTTGTATACAAACAGATACTAGTTAAAAAAACAGAAGCTTCATTCTTTCCTTGAAAATGAGGAAGGAGGTTTCCTTCATTTTCTAGCTCTTTAAAATACATGCAAATTCTTAAAAGAGTAGAAAAGATTGGTATTTCATCTGCCTCTAACATAGGATTGTCTTTATTTCAGGAGCACATCTGAAATAAAAACCTCAAGGGAAATTGTACCTTTACTTTCCAGTTTCTGTGGTGTGGGAGGAGCCTGACTTTGGTGAACAATCTACTGCAGTTATAGAATTTCTTTGGGTTTAGCTAATACAGATAGTCACTCCAATGAGCAGGTAAAGCTAGGATGAATGATGAGTAACAAATGGTGTTGTCAAAGTCCCCTCACTTGGGAACTAGATTTTGTTTCTGTTGCAAACCTGTATATATTGGGTTTGCATCTGCTGGGCTATGTGAGGAGGATGAAGTAGGATTTATTCCATCTTTGCAGGCTCTTTGTGGATTGCCCGTGATGCACACTGCATGTTAGCTTAGGTTTTTTTCAACATTAAAGTGTCTCTTTCTCTCCTGTCTTTGTGTGAGGAATTTTCAAGTTGGGAGAATAATTTTAATTATATTTCCATAACAGGTTCCACAGACAGGTATTTAGTGTCAATTTATCTAGGGCTTCATCAAAGTGTCTTGTCAAATTTTTCACTTAACCTTTCAAGTTGCTCAGTTTTCCTATCTTGAAATGAGGATATTTCTATTTGATTGTTTGTGTATATCATTTTGTGTCTTATGGACAGGCTAGACAAAATTATGAAAATAAAACTATTTTGAAATTACAAAAATTATAAGAATGTAAATTATAATCTTTAATAATCTTTATTTTTGTCTTATTACTTGAAGGTATTTTAAAAATATTTATAAAATTTAATGTTATCTAATGCTTAGAATAGCATGAAATATACTTGAAAGCTTTCTATGTAATATATAAGTTTAGAATACTGTTTGCTAAATATTCCCAAGAAAGCATTTGTGTTAGTACTTCAATTTAACAGGAATACAATTTCTATGACCAGATCCAAAGATATATTGAGTTCTTAGTAGCATAGAAACACCAGGAAAAGGTCCAGTAATGTTAAGCATCAAAAGGTCTTTGCATAAATTAATACAAAAGTTATTTGGTAATTATAGCATCCCTGTCTAGCTTTGCATGAAATAACTATACCTGGGAAGATGAAACAGACGTGAGCTGGGGAAGCACAACATTAATGTAACATACCACCTAATAGATATTAGTTGAGGACTGCACTCATTTTAAATAGGGCAAGTGGAAAATTATGAATTTGCTAACTATAAAAGCTTTCCTTTTGTCCATCCCATTTGCTATCCTTTGCTGAGTATCAATTTCATGTTAGACACTGCTCATCTCGTTGAACTGACTTTCTTCACTCCGCTGTGCTTAAGCCAGTGCTAAAGAAAATTGTCTTCTCTGATGTTGGCGAAGGAGCTCTGGCAGAGACACATTCACTTGTAACCTGAGCACTGTGCCAAGCAAATCCCATTTAGATATTACCATTATTAGGTGCAGCAATCAATGAAACAAACACTTATCTGAAGTAAAGGCACTTAAATACATATTCACAATGGAAAATTCTCTATTCAAATTACTTAACACACCGCGTAAAGACCAAATCTGGCACTAAATTTTCTATATCTCGGCTGAGGTATATGCCATTATCGTTATGCCCTTCCTGTCGTGTTGTTCTCTAGGGGTTCATTTACCTATTCTGCATTCTATCTTGGTTACTTTCTTTGACCTTTTCTTGCTTTCATTTCATTCCTTTTGACTTACAAATCCCTTTCAATCTATAGCAAATGCTATGGATAAATAACACAATTTTAACTTTCCACTTCTTTATTTTAAATATATTCTTTCTGCAAACTGCTGGTAGTATTTATAGCAATGCACTAATATTCTATTTGTCCATAAAATAAAATAGTCAGTACTTCTAAAACTTTTAATCTTCTTTCATCCTAAATACAGAGCAACTACTTTGACTTTTACAGAGTATGAAAAATTCAAATGACAAGAATGTACATACAAACTTTTAATGCACTATAATATCATTTACATGAAATTAAAACACGTGGGTGTAGTGTTAATATTTACATTGGTAGAGAGTTGAAATAATCAATACAGGAAAGCTGTCTTTGATTTTAAAAAGTGTCTCTTATAGCTTCATTTCCTAAACATGTTTCATGGCTGCCTTAATAAATGCTAGCATTAAATATTGACTGAAATAGCTGATTCCTTATTACATAAATATTGGTAAAGACAGTTTGTAAAGGAAAACTTCCATTTGAAAAAGAAAATAACAATAATTACAAAAGCTACCTAGTATAGAAAACTGCAAATCAAAAATAAAACTATGTGTATATTAGTTGTTTTGAAAAGAACGTTTCAAATGAAGTACAGGTAATCTGCTGTATTACAATTCCTTGCTCATGAGGAGACAGCTGAAAACATAAACACTTGTGATAAGTGATGGTTCTCCAGCGCATTTCAGCTTGGAATCTATGATTTTCATACAAATGCTGGAGACATTTTTCTTTGTCTGGAGAAATAAAGGCCATCATAATGTTGCCATTTGTATCAGTGCCACCATTTTATACTTCTTGTGTGTCAAATCTTCAGTTTGCAAATGTTTGTCGTTAAAAATTGTGAAAATGTTTTGAGGCATTTACTCCTCAGTCTTCATTTCCCCTTTTATCTGTAAATACCACTATTCTTGTAAAATCTCCTTTCTCATTATCATAAGCAACTATTACAGACAGCTATGTGAGATAGAAATTAATATGCAGTCAGAGAGGGGTTGGACGCCGAGGGAGTCAGGACAGAGGAGGAGGTTTATCAAGATTGCAGCTGGGGCAGAATGTGAAAAGAGCAACGCCTCGTGGTAGAAGTACAATAGTCCCATATGCAAACCTCCCCAGAGGAAAAGCCGCACCCTGAGATTATATAGTAATCAGCACCATGCAGTCCAGTGACCCTAGATAGGCATCAGGTGCCTATTTCTTGCTGTGATTAGAAGTTAGAAACTGAAGTTAATGATGCTCCCATCAACCCTTTCTGTATGCTTTGTTTCCCTACTGGATCAATATTAGCTAAGCAACTATACTCATAATCCTCTAGGTTGGTTGTTGTTTGACCCACTTTGTGATTTGGCTGTATAAAATACCCCTGACAGAGAGCTCTGATGTTATCCTCTCAAGACCCCTCTTGGAAAATGAGGACCTACTATTCTTCCGATTTCCAATACAACTCCTCCTTTGGTTCACAACTTCTCCCTCGATGATGTGAGACCATGAACTTGAAGCACGTGACATCACAGATTGGGGGTTATTCATCTTTGTCATACAACCATGTGCAGAAGGTTGGAGCTGCAGTTCTCTCCACTGAGTGCAGACCTGGTAGGAATTTAGAAGCTATGCAGTTCTGTGCCTCTATGTTAAAAAGCTGACTCCCTCATATATAGGCCAACTGTTTTGCTTCTCTCTTATCTATTTAAGTGTTTGGGCAGAGACAGGGGTAGTGTTACCCAAGCATATCAGTGCACTTTTGCGCTTTTATTTAATATATTCTGTTTGAAAACTTTCTGTTGGCCATTAATTAATACAGGAATATACAGTATTTTTCACTCTCCTAAAACTTTGTTGAACTTTTCTTTATTTGATTTTTGGGTCCTTTGTGTCATAGAGTGCTGTGGAGATAATTTGATAATGAGTCAGTGTTATAACAAAAATATGGAATTTTATTCATTAGCTTAAGTCTGAAACAAACCTATTGGATTTCACTCTCCAGGCCCTTACACTCTACATTCTATTTAACCCCCTGGTTTTCCTCTGCCTGCCCTCTGTTAACCTACGGACAAGTTTGATTCCAAAACCTCCCCACCAAAACAGCATCCTACAAAAGTACATGAGATTAAAGCAAATCAATTTGGTTTTGCAGCAAAATGATAAACTTAAAGATTAATTTTAAAATATCACTTCATTTCTCTGTTTCTCTGACTACCTGGATTCTCTTCTAGTATTAAGTTGCCATTGTTGTTAGGATGACTGCCTGCTGTGAACCACAGAGAAAAGCATAGAAGAATCTCACTTAGGGGCAAAACCAAAAGCTGAGGATTTAATGGCTGTTAAGTAAATCTGAACGTAAAAATGAAGAACAGACTTAATAGAAACTTAATTACTGTCAGATACATTTTTTAAAGGATATTTCCATACCTGTCATGAAAATATATTTCTTCTTGGAGGAAAATCTTATTTGTGTATATGTTTTGTTTTGTTTTGTTTTGTTTTTTAATATAGGATCTGCCAGGCAAGCAGGTACTTCTCTGTTTTATTACTTATTATTTTCCTTTAGATATAAATCCAGTCTTAACTTGAGGTCAAATTAGACAATCAAATTACAAAAATGTACCATGAAGACATACACTCCTCTTTGCCACGCTCATTCAATGTGTCCAGTTTCTTTTGACATTTAATTTAAAATATTGGTCGAATTAGACCTTGAGTTTACTCTTTATCTTGTTTGCTTTGGTGTTTGTCTTATTGATAATCCTGTTACCTTGCTTTTTTAGAACTGCTACTGCTGGATTTTTATTGATTAAAACTTTATATTGATGTTTTCTGAGCACATCTAAATAGATATAGATGCATAAAACCACACTTTGCTTTATTCACAGTAATTTTTTGTCTATATGTCTACCTATCTAGCTTCTATTTTATCTTCTTTCTTCCAAACTGTAACTAGAAGAAAGGCACAGAAGTGGCAGAAGAAAAATCTGTACTATCCCATTCTTATAACCTCAATAGTTTATACCCTGAGAAACTGCTGTATGATGAGATTAACAAGTGAAATTTGAGCTATAACTGCAGCTGAATGAAAGGTTTCCTGACTAAGGAAGTGAAGGTATTACATTTTGCCTATCGTAATACGCCCAAATCGGAAGTTTCTCATGGTGTTGTCAAGCTCCATTTCCATGCTGTACTAGACAAAATCCAAATTTGGGACTATCTTTCTCAGTTAGCTATTGTGAGAACTCAAAAAAGAACATGTGAAACAGTGCTGCTTCCGTAACTGAGAGGCCTTGGAACCTACCTCCAAATCCAGGTCTCTGACCTTTTCTTGTTCCTGTCCCTTCCACCTCAGGAAGACACTTTCTGCAAATTGTTCTTACCTCCCCAAGTCTAGATCCCACAATGAATAAATATTTACTTCTGTTCTACTCCCTGTGTTTTCATTAACAGGAATAAAAAGCGAAGTCTGTCAATATACTTGAGCATACTTTTGTCACACACCATTGTTCTCTCTTTTGCTCCCAATGAGAAAGACTTACAAGGAATTGTCTGCTCTGCAGGACAAATAGATTCAGTCCTAGGATAGTGTATTTTCTCGAAGCCTGTTGACTGTTCCTAAAATATATTTACATTGCTACTCTCTCTCTTTCCTATAGAAATATGATATGTAAGACTCTGAATCATATTGAACATGTAGGTTATGGCACTATGTAATTAATCCATGCATAAAATAAAGTTTATGCTTTCTATTCTCTTTAATTGGTCTACATCCATTTATTCCAGGTAACCAGCAAAGAGAAGAGGGGAACTGCCTCTTTTTCTCTACAGATTTTGTGCCCTGTTTCAAATAAACCAAAGCTTCTCAGCTCTCCTGGAAGCCACAGAAAAGGAAACCCAGCACCTAAAATGGTAGCAGAAGAATAAGCATTCCTCAGGCTCTTGGCTGCTGTCTGTGAAATCCAGTTGAGTGGAGAGCAAAAATCTCCTCTTTTTTCTTCCCAAATTTGGATTAATAGAAGAAAAACATTTGACTTTGTATTGCTCTGGTCTATAGCTACATTGACAATGGGATATTTTCACTTTGAGTCTTGACTGTGTGGTCATCTTTCTCTCAGAAGTAGTCAGTTTGGCTTTGTTCTCTGACTAAAGAGCTCCACAGGGTCGAACACAAGCCTGAAACCCTACTAAGCCAGATGCTTAAGCTGCCTCTGCAGATTGGTGGGGTTGCGAGTCCTTAGCGGTTAGCATCTGTTTGGATAAAGCTCTGATGTGGATCCCTGAAACAAAAACGAGATGAGGTTCCTCTCTCATCTCCTTCTATGCCCTTGAGAGCTTGACTTTTGACCAAATGACAAAATTCTCTGTCCGTTTCTACTCGTCCAAGGATATAACTGTCACTTTGTACCAGGTGGCCAGGCTGGAAGCAAAGGGACTTTAAAACATAGAAGATTCTCTTTTAGTAGTGGTATAATCTTTGTCAGAATGTGTCAAACTCTCAGGAGAGCTTGTCTCATCAAGAAGAACCAACCATAATGGCCTTTTGCGATCTAATCTGTGTTGCCTAGTTACTGTCTTGATAGTCTAATTCTAGAGAGACCTGCCCAGTGTCATAAATCCACAGTTATGTCTAGAGTTACCTCCAAGTGTCTATGTGTCCACATGTCCCTGTGGCCATATGTCCCTAAGGATGCTAAAGACATGTGTACTGAACATCAACCTTCACGTTCTATGGTAATAAGTGTCTTTGGCTTTCTTAAGTTAACTTCTGTGTTCTGTCCTTAGACTAGGACAGTGAGGCACATTGCCATGAGACTTAAAATATCTGCAGATATGCTACAAGACATAAGGTTTCTTGAAAGTAAAAAATAGGGAGAGTCTGGTGGCAGCTGGCTAGGCTGGAGGTGCTCCAGACCATCACTATGGAAGGAGGGTTTTTGTAGCCTTGTAAACGTTGACATAATTAATTTTCTTTGTCCCTCTGAATGACCAGAATTCCAAAGAACTTTGCCTTTGATACACATGTAGAAGACTTATTACAGAAGACACTTGACATCCCAGTTCCCACTGTACACATGAGGGAGTTAGTGTCCCTTTAGTTAATATCTCCCCAGACCCTCCAGTTCAGGTCTGCCTTCTAGTCCTCTTGACATGGCTGGAGTCTTAGGGATTGAAAAGGACTTCTCAGGGACATGGTGTTTGGTGTCCCTGTTCTTTTTCCAAAAACTCATACATCTTATGAATGAATTTTGGGAGAACATAGGGGATTTTCTGCACTATCTTCCAAATTGATTCTTGCTTTCATGGTAAAATTTTACTTCAAAGCTGGTAAGGTCACCTTCTGGTCTTTCCACAGAAAGATGACATTTGAATAAATACATACCATTGTGGAACCTAATTACCAATGGCCAGACAATGGACCTTTTAAATTACAAAGACCTCTACATGTAAAAGAAAAAAAGTTAAAGAACTCTCTGGTCTTAAACAGCTATCTTATTGGTACCTATGAAACTATACAAAAGAAATATAATGAATGTCTTTAAAAGATTCTTTTGACAAGACTAAAGGGAGAAATCTGATTTAGAACAAAATCAAAACCCTTTAAAACCGATCTTTTGAATCTCTCTTGGCTGCTGATTTAAAACCCCTGTCCTCCCAATTGAGCTGGAGCAAATTCTTTTGATTCAGGAGAGAAACATTTACAAAAACTAGTTTTACTTATTTGTGTGACACTTGAATTTTTGGAGGTACTCACTTGTAATCCTTTCTGTCACTGAAGAATAAGCTTTGGTTTCCTTTTTTATAAACTGTGGCATTTTTCTGACTGTCCTTCTATGGGAACACTTGGGTTATTGAGCTCTTCTGTGGAGATAATCAACCGAACAGATGGGGACTATGGAGAGTATGGCCAAACGCACCTGTGCTGTGTTTCTTCTAAAGATTCCCCTCTTTAAGCTGTTGCTGAGAGGATTCTAGACCTTGGAAGAGCAACACCCATCTTGCTCCTTCTGTGAAGACCTTGCTTGAAGTCATAGGGATTAGTTGCCTTGGTCTCATGCATTTTGGTTTTGAGACACTAGTTTTTGTATATTTCTGCTTTTAGACTTTAATGTATATTTACACTATAGTAAGAATTTTGTTTTGTTTATACACATAGTAAGGCATTTCTTCTCTCTTTTTTTGGCTCTTGTTCAGTCAACTGAACTGCTTCTCTGCAAATCTCTACTAATCAAAATTTCATTGCCCTTTTGGGGGGAAACTTACTACTTCCCCAAATAGGCTCTGTGAATACACGACCTTTCATTCTGCATTGGTTCCTTCTTTCCCCTTCATTTGGTGATGAGTGGAAGCAAAATTGTTGAGGACTACCTGACAGTTCTGGTTCTAAAGGAAGCAGACTCAAACTTCGAGCAGCACCGATACCCACTGTGGAGGAAAGAAACAATATTTCCATTTGTGCTGTCATTCATTCCCTATTGTTTTATTTTAATGTTCTTGTTTTAAATATTAGTGATAACACACATATACAAAAGTAAACAAGTTATAAGTGTTTACCTAGTTGAATATCTGAAAAGTGCGGTATCTGCATAGATACTTCTCAGATGAAAGTAGAGAGTCATGTCTACAGCATTATGCTTAATAACATTTGTTAAGTTTTATAACTGAATGCTATGTAAGTGGTAACATAATTCTTCTTTAGCATTTTCTTTTTTACTAAACATTGCATAAGTCTCATCTGTTCACTGAATAGGTATTTTCATTGCAGTATTATATTTCATCTTATAAATGTAACACACTTTAGTCTTTCATTATTGGGCATTTAGATTTTTTCATTTTTATTGGTATAAATGATATTGTCATTAGTATTATATATGAGCATTTTTTATAAACAATATAACTATTTCTATACTTTCCATAATAGAATTATTTGGTCATAATTGTCCTTGGTTTTGGTAAAATGTGCCAAAATCATATCAATTTGTATGGTGGAAAATAATCAATTACAGTTTAGATTTCTCTTTAACCATGTCAATATGTGTTCATTCCAGGTATTTTTTTGTTGTTGTTTGTTTCGTTTTATTTTATTTCAGTCTTTCAACCATTGTAATGTTTTGTTTTTTATTTTTGGTACCAAGAATCTAACTCAGGACCTTGCATTTCCCAGGCAGGCACTTGTGCCACACAACTGTATCCCCAGCCCTTAGCCATTGTAATGGTACATGGCAGAATATTCTCTAAATATTTTTTTCTTGTAAATTAACCCTGGTGAACATTCTCTCATTAAACCTTTTCAAACGCAGTTTCATTTAACCCCAGGCAGAACTTCACAGTGCACCACCCACTTCATGCCCCTGGAGATGAACTGCACTGATGACACCAACAGACTCCCCTGCCTTCTGGATTCATATTGGCACTAGGGGCACAGGTTAGGCATGAGGCGGGGGTGAGGAGAATGGGACACTGTTCTCCCCATACTGGCTGCACTGCAAGCTGTCTGAGCATCCCCACAAAACCCTCAGCTTTCTCACTCAACTGGTCTCGCAGTCCGCTCCTTCTATAGTTTCCCCATTACTGCTTTCTCCCATCCCAAATATACAGTGTAGTGTGGAAGATGGGCTGGCACTGTATATTTCACTATCGTTTCAGTTTTTCTGTCTATCCATCTCCACAGTTAGGTGTATAGATCTTCTATTAAACTCTCTTTAATGTGTATGGATTTGAATGTGCTAGTTCTTCGTGACAGAAATTTATATAACATGTATAACTTGTTTTTAAACTGTACTGTGAACAAATGGAAAGATGATACATGCAAGAGATGAGAATTTCAAAATTGAATGAAGATATTGTTACAGTTTGGATCTAGATGTCCCCCCAAAACCTCTTATGGTCATAGATGGGGCTTTTTCAGAAGTGTCTGAATCTAGAGTGTGTGATCCTGGGATTAAGAATAGATGATTATTAAATCAGTCCACTGATTGGTTTGGCACCACCCTAATCCTGATAGCCTGGGTGTAATGTAAGGGAAAGAAAGAGGCTTATCGTGTCCCTTGTTGCTTTACTACCTTCCACCTGTTATGAACTGTTTCTCCTCTACGATGCCACCGTGCCTTGGAGCCAGCTGACTGTGGACTAAAGCCTCTGCAAACTGTGAGCTAAATAAACCTTTCCTCCTTTAACTTTGGGTGTCATGTGTTTTGTCTCAGCAAGGAGAGAAAAGTAACTAAGACAGATATTTAGAAAATACAGTGTTTTTAAGTGGTCCTCCCTCCAAGAGATCAATAAATATTTGCCACAGTAGAACTCAAGTTAACACGATATTCTATTATCTTGTCAAGTTAATTCCTTATGCAGATTCTTGTTGTTTTTAGAATACCTTAATCTATATTTTATAGAAACAAAATTAAAAATAATAGATCTTGAAGTACAGTACCGCAGATTTGCCCAAACAGCAAATTAAATTCCATTCATTATCTTCTCATTTGTGATAAAGAGATGTAACATCCTGAAACATTATCTTATGTAATGATCCTATCTCACTGTCTTCTGTGTTTTTAAGTCTTTAAGTGTCAAATGTTACTTTTAAATTCAAATCAAATAAAGTTTGTTAGTGATAGTCTTTTCCAGTTATCAAGATGCTGCATATGAATTGTGTTAGCTTTTTCTTACTGTACAAAATATATAAGATAATTAATTTGAAATGTCCCAATTTCAGAAATTTCAGTTCTTAGTTGTTGAACTCTCATGCTTTGTGGCTTTGGGTAAGTCAGAACATCATGCTGAGGAGTGTGTGGTGGAGCAAACCCAGTTACCTCACATAGAGTAGTGAAAAATATGAAGAAAAAGGGGCTGGGAGGGTGCCACTATCCCTTTCAATGGCCCAGCTTCTCCAAGATTCCATCATGTCCCACTAATACCAAGCCATCAACACTTGATGGGCAGGCCAGGGATATAGCTCAGTGGCACAAGTGCTTGCCTGGAAAGCCCAAGGTCCTGAGTTCAATTCCTGGTACCAAAAAACAAAACAAGACAGTTGACGAGCTTTTGGGCCTCAACACTTGGTGGATTTCAGAGGACATTTTAGATACAAAGTATAACACAAACCAAACCCTTCAGAGAGAGAAAGGATTTACAGAGATGGGAAGTTTACAAATTCTTAGGATTAGTAAGACAGATAAATGTAATTTTAATATCAAATGTCTTTAAACGGAAGAACTAATCTGTTGAATAATAGCTAGGGAGAGGAATCAGCTGCGAAAAATGTATGTGTACAGCAGCTCCTACTTAGAGTTAACTTGAAGTGTATTAAAGTAGTTTTGTGATACAATTAAATAAAACTGATGCAAAGTAAAACTAATAAAACAAGAGGAAATAGTCTTGTGGGTTTCTGAGCTCTACATCCTCAGCTTTATCCCCCTACCCACTCCAGTTTAGGATCTTCCCTGAATAGGTTTTGGAAAACTGTTCTGAAATTCAGCTGTAGTCTTATAATTGTGACGCTTCTGCACACAGCTGATAGTGCAGATTACTACTTCTCTCTGAGAACTCAGTGGTACAACAATCTGTGCCTTATTTATGTTCTCTCTTTCCTGGTCTCTTTTTGTCTTCTTCCCTGATTTCTCTTTGGCTACATATTTCCTCAGTATCTGTGTTTTTCAAAGTTCAACTAAAGCACTGGTTCCCTGTTCATTACACATGATTTTAGTAGGTTAACTCAATCACTTTATAACAGTGATCTTTTATTCCAGAGAGTTCTAAATTTTATCTTAACAATATCACCTCAATCATGTAATATAGATCTATATTTTGAAAAGGTTTTACTACATATATTCTCCATGGATGCCCATAAAAGACTTTAGTTTCAACACGTTCTAGGCCACAGCTGTTATCTTTCTCTTTAAAACTGTTCTTTCCTCTTTTCTTTCCTTTTAGTTAATGAAATCACTATTCAGCCGGTCACCCAAGCTAGGAAACCTCATTTTGATCCTCAGCTCACCCATTTATCTCATCGCTCACATTCAATCAGTCAGTGCATCGCATTAATTCCACCTCCTGAATATCTTCGGGTTCTGTCTTCTACTTCTCATTCCCACAGCTAGCTCTGTTTACAGGTCCATTGTCTCTATTCTAGCTTGTAAGCATGGCCTCCTCACCAACCTCCAGGACTCCTGTGGTTGACTGATAACTATCCTGACATTCCATTGATCTTTGACAACGCTGTATATGTGTATTTCTAGAACATAAATCAAATCATAGCTCACTCTTTGTTTAAAAGCTAAAATTAAAGAATTAAATACATATTTTATGAGATCTGTTTTAGCAAAAAGGTAGCTTTCCAAACAATAATATATATGTTCTTTGAAAAAAAAATGTAAGATGAATGTTTTCTCTCAGAAAAACAGAAGATGCCTTAGGAGAAACATTTTTATTAATTTTAATGCAGTAGAGTTTTTTTTAAAAAAACATATCACTTTAAGCTATTCAAAGCTACAGTACAAGTTTACACATTGTCCACTTGATTTTTTCTTTAAATAAAAGCTACTTTATGGCTACTTTCTCTGAATAACTTTAATATTATGTAAATGTATATACATATGTATATAATGCTCAAGGACCAATCTAAATGAAACAATATTTATGAATTCATAAAAATTTATGAATTCATTAAAATGAGTTTAAACTTTCTAATTAGAATTTTTTTAAGAAAGAACTCTTGGGGTGCCCTGAAAAAGTGAAAATTGTTTCTAATCAGCACTTTTCCCCTTAATGAATAGGGCCAATGAGTCGGTATTAAAATGTGCATTTATAAATAGGATTCTGTAGGCATGTGACATTACACACCTGCCTGATAGCTTTAATTTGCAAATGCAAGACTTTTCTTGTCTTATTCTATTCTGTATATATTTACAGCAATTGATCAAATCTTTTCACACATGCTAAAACTTCTAAGAATTTCTTTTATGTGAAATTCCCAAAGCTTTGCTTAACAGAAATATACTGGTTCACTTTGGGCATTAACAAATTTTATGTAAGAAGAACAGGATAAATTATAAGCAGATAGATTATTATTTCATCAAATCTCTGGAAAACTGCTTCAGTTTTTTTAAATTTATGCTGAGGAAGTTGCTTTTGCCTCTCTCTTATTTCTCTATGTCTCTTACTAAAGATAGGTTTGTATTTTATACTTTTAGAGAGGTTGCACAGTCAGGAAATACAGATTCAGTATGTGGACAAGAGCTCCATTCCTGATTAAAACAATGAATGGTTAGTTTTCCATCATTCCCCTCTATTAATTAGTAAAAAGATGCTAAGTAAAACCTGCAATCTTGGTAGTTTCTTGTCGATAAACGTATCCAACACTAATATTTTTTCAATATGTATGTTTTATTCCTTGCCTCTATTTATAAAAAGAAAAGACTTCTGAAATT